TTCTCGCTACTCTGTTGCATTGTGGGAGAGGAAGTGCTTGTTCCCACGTTGTTGCAGCTGCGGGGAGAAGCTCCGCCAGCATGGCTACCACCGCCGCCAAAAGGTCAGGGCGCTTTGCAAACTCCAGCCAGCCAAGCGAGTCCCGGGCAAAGTGGGGCGTCCTTGCAAGAATTGGGGGTTGGGGGTGGGCGGGGGGGGGGTAGGAGCCTTTGCGGGATTGGGGGGGGGCTGCAGCCCCGCAAACTCGTGAGAATAGGGAATTGGGTTAAGTTTCCTCTTTAGGTTTACGCGCATTCTGCCCCAACTCTTGCAAACCGAAAAAAAGCGCGTTGCATTGCATTCGTTTGGTGCCGGCCTGGAGGAACACGTGGCGTGCCATGTTCCCTCGTCCCCCAGGTGGGAAGTCTAAATGTCCGACCCAACGCGTGTATATAGCGTGCTCGTGTGAATGAATACACTCCAGACTCTGGGGACGCCCGGCGTGGCGTGGAACGCAGCGAGCAAACAAACTTCCTTTGCCCATGAATTAGTCAAACCCTCCCCCCATTAATTAATTAAACCCCCATTAATTAATCAAACCCTCCCCCATTAATTAACCCCCCATTAATTAATCAAACCCTCCCCCATTAATTAAACCCCCATTAATTAATTAAACCCCCATTAATTAATTGGAAAGGATAGACTTGAGGTGGCTTTTTAAAATTCTTGATATGTTCTCAAATGTAGCAGGGAGGGGTCTTCAAACGTGGCCCTTTTAGGACTGGTGGACTTCAACTCCCAGAATTCCTCAGCTAGGCACGCTGGCTGAGGAATTCTGGGAGTTGAAGTCCACAGGTCATCACAGGGCCATGTTTGAAGACACCTGGTACAACTTAAGGCCTTTCAACCTAATTTTATCTCACCCTAACTTGCTGGCTTGGGAGGAACGCTTAGGTAATGAGCAATGAGCAACACCTGGATTATTTTACTCAGAAGGCCACAGGTGGTGCTCAATTGGGAGCAGGTTTTATCTTTCCAGCAGTTTCTGAGGCAAATTAACTGGAATTTCTTAAAAAATAAATTAGAATTTTTAAAATATAACATTGAGGCTGACAGACTTGTAATATTGGGGAACAACTCCAGGTAAACGGGAAAGATTTTTCCCCTCACATTTTCATGTCATTTTTAGTCAAGCTTGATAAAATTGAAGGCTCAAAGGCCTGTTTTCTATGTTTTTTCCCCTTTTCCTGTTCAGTTTTGAAAGCCCCTAATTTAAAAATACAGAAATGATATTTTTAAAAAACCTGTTGTTGTAATTTGTGGACCCGAGAATTTTGAAGCACTTTTGGTTAATTCAATTTGGGGAGAGGTTAGAGAGTCGTAGGTGTAAAATCTCTTTTGAGTTATTTCATTTGTTTTTATTTGTTTATTTGCTTGAATTATTTTCATTTGTTTATTTGCTTGAGTTATTTTCATTTGTTTATTTGCTCTGGCAGTTAAATGGGATTCAAAACGCAGGAGAAGCAAGTGGGTAACAATACCTCCTAATAATAAATTGTTAGAAATAATTTATAAATAATCATAGATAAGTTGTAAATTCTAAAATAATCCAGGGTGTCTCTTGAGGGGCTTTTGCCTTTAATTGATTTTCTTGCGTTTATGAAATTATTTCATAATAATTTAATTCGTATTAAATCTCGCTAGCTGCCCATCTCATGGGTGTGACTTTGGCTGGCATACAATTCATTCAGGTTTATTACAGTCCAAGACCAGAGACAAAGAGTGGCATACAATTAAAGCAACAATGTGAAAAACAGTGCGTTAAATTTTTATTGTGTGTTTGTTATATTGGTCTTTTCCGTTTGCCTCTAAGGTTGGAAATAGGGTCACTAGTGTGAAATTAACAACTTGGAAATGAGGGTTCATTATATTTGCCAGATTTATTATGTCACAATGCATTGGCCTTTCTAAACAAGACCATCTGTAATCAAAAGAGGTATTGTTTATTTGTGTTTTTAAAAAATAAATTTCTATCTTGCCTTTTCAGAAGCAAAAAACTGGGTGACTTGAGCGTGGATGAATTTTTAACGTCCGGATTTGATTCTGATTTGGAAGATGATTTAATAGAAGATACTCCAAATTCTGGGGGAGATGAGAAAAAAATGTTGCCTTCAGAACTTGGCAGCAAAAATAAATCAGGAGGTAATTTGATAACGGTGGAAAGGTGAGTTTTCATGATGATGGATGGATGGAAAGAGATGGGTGGATGGGAAGAGATGGATAGACGGATGATAGGATGGATGGATAGACAGATAATTGGATGGATGGATGGAAAGACGAATGGATGGATGGATGGAAAAAGACAGATGGATGATTGGATGGATGGGTGGGTGGATGGATGGATGGATGGATGGGTGAGGGAGTGGATGGATGGATGGATGGATGGATGGAAAGAGATGGATGGATGATTGGATGGGTGGGTGGATGGATAGATGGATGGATAGATAAATAGATAGATGGTAGGTAGGTAGTTAGTTAGTTAGGTAGGTAGGTAGGTAGGTAGATAGATAGATAGATAGATAGATAGATAGATAGATAGATAGATAGATAGATAGATAGAAGCTTTTAAACTGTGCCTAGGAATCTCAATTTGGAACCTCACTAAAATTCCTTGATAAGAGGATGCAAGACTAATTTTGCCTCGTCTCCATCTTGTAGAAAATGAGAAGGGCTTTCCTCTAAAACAATGTTTCTCTACCTTGCCAATTTTAAGATAGGTAGACTTCAACTCCCAAAAGGTCCCAGCCAGCCCTTTGGCTTTCAAGTTAGAATCAAAAAGGACACAACACAGAACGAAAGCCGACTGGGTGGGGAAGAGAAAAACGCAAGGCAGCCATACTCTTGAGCGTCACTGGGAACCTACTGGTTGAGGAATTCTGGGAGTTCTCAAAATCAACAAGGTTAATGTCCTAGGGGGTCCTCGGCCCACCGCCCAGGAACCAAATATACTCCCTTGCTGACTTTTTCCTATTAAAAGTTTGAAAATCAGGACTTTTGTTCGTTCTTTCTACGAAACAAAAACCCCCAATGTTTCTCTTCTAAGCAGATGCCACGATTTAGCACTTTGAAATTTGTAGGGTTTATTAGCATTTTTTTAAAAAAAAAAATATACTTCCTGGCTGGATATATAGATAGATAAACTTAAATTCCTTAAACTCTTCTCTGTTGTGCAGGAAAACAAAGAAGGGTCATGCTTCAGAGCATAAAGACCAGCTGTCTCGACTAAAGGAACGAGATCCAGAATTTTACAAGTTTCTGGAAGAAAATGACAAGACTTTGCTCAATTTTGATGATTCTGACAGTTCTGACGAAGAGAAGAACCATCACGTGTTGCCTGAAAAATTAGAGGTAATTAATTTATTTGCAATATATCTGAACATCAGGAATCAACCTGACTGCTCTTGCTAGCTCTCTGATGCCAGTTAGAATCCGGCTTAGTTAATGCTTCGATCTCCTGTCATATTGCAGGACTATAGAAATAAAATGATCAGAGGAACCAATTTCTTTTTATTCCCAAGAAAACTGCGTGACTGTGACCCTGGAAGTTACCCATATCAGGCTAATGCTTTTTTTTTTTTAAAAACTTTGATAGGAAGCAACTGATGATGAAGATGAGGAAGAAGAAGAAGAAGAAAAAACAGCTAAGCGGAAAAAAATGGACTTTATCACAGTGTCATTGAAAATGGTGGAACACTGGAAGGAAGTCGCAGAGGTAAGAGAGACCATTTTTAAAAAGCAGCATTTCTTTAGGAGATGCAAATAAGTCTGATTAAATATGGNTTTCTCTGTCTCATTTTAACCACAGATATGAATAGAATAGAATAATAGAATAGAATAGAACAAATAAAATAGAATAAAAATACTAAGATAATTCTTCTTCTTTTTTAATTCCACACAGAAGAAACTCTCTCCTAAGACCTTCCATGAAATCACTCAAGCTTTTAAAGCCTGCGTGGTCACCGCCAAAGGGGAAGCAGCGCGGCCGGATTCTGGCAAATTCAAAGTCACGGACAGCACAGGTAAAATCTGCCAGAGCTGAGCTTTGCAAAAATAAAGGATGAAAAAAAACACATTTCCATCTTAGTTGATACTTATGCCCTAAGTCTTGGTTTGCTTTAGCTGGCCTCGATGATTATGTTGTCAGTTTGGACACGTTTATTTATTTAGATTAAGATCCCTTAGGTGGCACCAAGTCCTATGCTATCAATTGCAAGCCAGAACGATTGTGTTCACAAAAACATTAAACCAAAAGCAAGCAAACTGAATTATGGGAATTAGGAAAAACTCCAATTATTATTTTGAGTGATAGGTAGTTCTCAACTTACTATGGATGGAAACTAACCAAGGAGAGAAGCAACCTGGAACTAAGGAGAAACTTCCTGACAGTTAGAACAATTAACCAGTGGAACAACATGCCTCCAGAAGCGGTGAATGTTCCAACACTGGAAGTTTTTAAGAAGAGACTGGACAGCCACTTGTCTGAAATGGGATAGGGTTTCCTGCCTGAGCAGGGGGTTGGACTAGATGATCTCCAAGGTCCCTTCCAACTTTATTATTATTATTACTACCCCAAGGGAGCCCAACATTTCTGTTGCTAAGCAGGATAGTTGCTAAGTATGTTTTGCCCCGTTTTGTGACCTTGCCACAATCACTGTGGTGGTTAAGTTGCTAACAAGATTGTTAAGTGACTTTGCTTGTCAGAAGATCGCAAAAGGGGATACCTAACCCTGGGGCCGTGCAACCGTCATAAATATGAATCAGTTGCCAAGAACCAGTTGCCAAGCATCAGAATTTTGATCATGTGACCCTGGGGACGGTCCTAAGTGTGAAAAATAGCCATACGTCAACTTTTTCAATGCTGTTGCAACTTCAAACGGTCACTAAATGAATGGTTAGGAGTCAAGGACTACTGTATATCGGTATTTCTCAATCTCAGCAACTTTAAGACAGGGGGACTTCAACTCCCAGAATTCCCCAGCCCGCCATGGTGCTGTATATAAATAAGAGTCATCTCGTGATTGCTAAAGTCATTGATGAAACATTTCTATTTTTCCATCTCCTGCTTAGTCTTCAACACCCTTGTCTCCTTCTGCGTCCGCGACCTCTTTGTTCTTCTGCAAAAAATGCTTCAGGTGAAACCTGCAAAAAATAAATCAAAGTAAGTTAATTTTGGGGGGTTTATTGACATTTATTTGCTTTTTATTCTTCCAGTCTAGGAATTGCCACCATGCAAAACACTATTCTTACAATCCCTAATGGGCATTTTTTTTTTAATCCATCCTGAGCAGAATAAGTTTTTAACTATTAATTTAGAAAAATATAATTCTGGGTCCAGTTTTCTAAAAAAAAAAAAAGATATTAAAGCCCTAAAAACATGTTAGACATCGAAGGATCTTTTTATTCATTCACATGTCCTAGGTTTACATCACCCACCTCACCTAAGGAAGACTCTGAAATAAACAGTGAATAAAATGAAATAACGTTCAGTTTATGCAATCGAAGCTGGTCTGTTAAGATGGTTCTTTTTGAAATGAAGGAGGGAACCGCAAGAATCCTAAAACAACAGTCCAAACGAAACTCTGCAAAAATAGGATTGAAATTCTAAAAAGCCTCGGCTTGGTTTGGGACCACATAACCATCATCCTTCCCAAGTAATCATGATATAATGTGGGTTCCGTTCCATTGATAAAATTCAGCTCTAGAACGAAAGCCAAAGCAGAAAGTTTTTGCATAAACAGACATTTCCCAAGATCAGAAGCCAGTTGGTGTGCAGTGTCCTGGGGGTCATGGACATGACCCCCTTTTGCAACCTTCCTAGAAGCAAGGTCAGTGGGAAACGTGGAGTCACTTAACCATGTGACTCATTTAACAGCTGCAGTGTTAAAATGGATCAGCAGGTCGTAAAATGGATCAAAACTCTCCTAACAGCTGTTTCGCTTAGCAAAAGAAATTTTGAGCTGTAGTTTATTTCAAGCCTCGGCACCTTTTATCGACCCAACCTGCTAAATTGGCTAATTTTTTGAGTTCTTTTTATGGCCAGGTTGGTGGATTGTTAACTCATTTTACCGTTCAGTAACCTGGGCAGGGGCATAAAATAAGTTTAATCTTATCCCCAGGACAACCAAATGGCTTTTGGTGTCGAAGCAAAGGGTACGTTCCATCTGGTGGTGTATTTCCACTGTTGCCAAAACCCCAGCCAAAATAATTGAAGGCTTAATTCGCAAAAGAGCTAAATCTAGGAAATTGGATAGTTGACAGGGTCAGCGCTGAACTTTCCCTTCGGACAGCAAAGGCGAGCAGCTGGTTAGGGTACAATTAATCCCTTTCTAGCTGGCACGTGGGTGGTCAATCTGCAGCTATCTGATCCGCGTAGCCTTGTGGGCCCTCGGTGGGTCTGGATAATGGTAGGTATTTTTATATGCTGTGCTTTCCACGTGATCTCAGCTCCCAGCTGACGTTGGCCAAGAAGGGCCAGGCTGAGATAATAACTAGCCAAAAGGCCAACACAATCTCAGATTGGCTAAATTCAACGGATTGCCCATTTCAGTTGTGTATTGATAAGGCCTAGCCAGTTGAGTGTCCTCTAGACTCAGTTCCCTCTCCATAAAACAGATACAGCTAGTTAGAACAATTAACCAGTGGAACAACCTGCCTCCAGAAGCTGTGAATGCTCCAACATTGGAAGTTTTAAAGAAGAGACTGGACAGCTGTTTGTCTGAAATGGGATAGGGTTTCCTGCCTGAGCAGGGGGTTGGACTAGAAGACCTCCAAGGTCCCTTCCAACTTTATTATTATTATTATTATTATTATTATTATTATTATTATTATTATTATACCTCTATTCATTTAGTGACCGTTTGAATTTAACAATGCCGCTGACAGGTCCTCATACTTCTCACAATAGCAACACCCCCACGGTCAAATGATCAAAATTGGGGCACTTGCCAACCCCGGGACCCCCCAATTGCCACTTCCCCAGCCAGCTTCCAACAAGCAAAGTCAGTGGGGGAAGCTGGATTCATTTAATGACTGCAGTGATTCATTTAACAACTCTGGCAAAAAAAAAACGGTTGTAAAATTAGCACGATTCGCTTAGCCCCCCACCTTGCTTAGCAATGGCAATTCTTGTCTCGGTCGTAAGTCGAGGATCGCCTGTGCAAAATCAGGCTGTTGCGAAGGCAGAACAACAGCAGGCCTGGAAATACATTCCCCGTGTTTGTGTGGGGTGCAAAGTAAAATAATAAATGAACGGTCTCTGGATGGAAATTGCTGCATGCTGTGGTGCTCCAGATTTTACATTCTGCCTTGAATTTTGAATCCCGTCGTAGGCAAGAAGCTTCCCCAGTTGAACAGCAGCCAGCCCAGTTGAAATTCAGTCGTCTCCCATTACTTAGAAAAATGACAGCCTCTGAATCACCCATTTTCTTCTAAATCCTCTCTCCCTTAATTCTTTTAGGATAGTCTTGCCTTCCTCCAGCCCGTTGTGGGGCAAGTTACGATTGGACATCAAAATGCACCTGGGCTGCACCATTCAGGTGAGTTTATGTCACCTTGTAACGGAGGGTCAAATTTGGCCGTTGTTTTGGTTATTGGGCACGTCTTCCTGGTTTGGGAAGATTTTTTTGTTTTTTTAATAGAAGAAAATATTTGTAGCTCAGCGTTGAAGCTGTGGGGTGCCTGGTGCTCCCCGAGCTTGGTGGGTTTTCTTGCAGATGTTTCACTACCCAACTAGGTAACATCATCAGTGCTAGAAGGGAGTGAGGTTTGCAGAGTGGAGGAGGAGGAGGAGGAAGAGGATTATGGGGTCCTTGGTGCTTTCTGAGCTTGGTGGTTTTCTTGCAGACGTTTCATTACCCAACTAGGTAACATCATCAGTGCTAGAAGGAAGTGGGGTTTGCAGAATGGAGGAGGAGGAAGATTATGGGGTCCTTGGTGCTCTCTGATCATGGTGGTTTTCTTGCAGACGTTTTACTACCCAACTAGGTAACACCATCAGGGCACTGATGCAAGAGCTGTGATGGCACAGAGGTTGGAATGCAGTACTGCAAGCTAACTCTGCCCACAGCCAGGAGTTCGATGAATCAGCCTTCCATCCTTCCCTGGTTGGTAAAATGAGGACTCAGATTGTTGGGGAAAATATGCTGACATTTATAAACAGCTCCGAGAAGGTTGTGAAGAACTATGGAGCGGTATATAAGTCTTAAGCGCTATCGCTAATGAAACGTCTGCAAGAAAACCAACATCTGCAGAGAACACCATGGACCTCCCCACCCATCTTTTTTCCTCCCTGTTTCAATGGAAAGAGCACTAGACAGAGAGAGAATCCTCAGCGGGTCCACAGTTTGACTTTCGACTCGTAGAAATTGCAGAAAGGCAACATTTACAAGACCAGAGATCTGGGGTCTTCAAACCTGGCCCTTTTAGGACTTGTGGACTTCAACGCCCAGAATTCCTCAGCCCGTTGAAGTCCACAAGTCCTAAAAGGGCCAAGTTTGAAGACCCCTGCCGCAGATCACTTCTGCCAGAGTTGAACAAGGCAATCTGTGGAGATTCTCAGTCATTCCAGGTCATAGTTATCCCAAAAATGCTTTTTCGAAATGTTCTTGAAGAAGCACCTTTGAGACGGGGGCAGAAGGGGATATAGGAGATTTGAAATTGGTCATTCTTTGAGCCAGATCGAGGGGAATTTTGTCTTTTTTTTCCCTCTCTCTGCAGCTTCTGTCGTGTTTAACCCAAACCTCAGTAACAACAGCTGTCCTCCAGCACATCAGTGCCATCGTGCCTTATTATTTGAGCTTTCCCAAACAGTGTCGCGTGCTACTTAAGGTAAGTTGGATAGCAGGGCTGGCCAGAAGGTGCAAGAATAAGACTTAAAAGTTGGATGTTATGGTTCCGGCTAATGAAACACTTCAAAGAACTTCCAGGCATTGATTTTCCTAAATTCTTGCTTTGACAATATGCAGAACTGTCTGGTATTTTTAGAGTTAATGCAAAGCAGAAGAGGGAGAAGGGAAAAGCCCGGGAAAGAGAGAGGAAGGGAACCTTTGACCTTCACACTGATTGGATAACAGTGATATATGACAGCTAATTTAGGGAGGGAACATGCTGATAATTTAATTGCTCAGTGGAAGAGAATTTTTGAAATAAAAGATGATAAGAAATGGTGGGTTGAAGAACTGGAGGGAAAGCCTGCATTTCAAGCTAATTGGAGAATGTGATTTATGACTGTTAATTAGAGGAGGGAATTGTGCTTTGATACTATGTGCTCAGGGGAGGGGAATTCAGATTTTGGCTTTGCCTATGTATGTGCTGATGCTATGCTACTCGAATAAAGATTCTTTAAGATAATGCCTCAAAGTTCTTTGAAGACTTTCATCTGTCGGAACCATGACATTCGAGGCATGACATTCGAGGCTTGATCGGCACTTGGGAAAAATTCAGTTTCTAACACTAGAGGGGATCTCATTTTAGAAGCACAACAAAAAACGGAAAACAACTTTATTTTTTCTTCTTTCATTAAGCAAACGATTCGACTCTGGAGCACGGGCGATGAAGTTGTCAGAGTTCTAGCTTTTTTGGTACTCAACAAAATCTGCCGGTATAAGCAGGAAGCTTATTTGCCTTCTGTTCTTAAGGTAAGACGGCCACACAAAAAATCCACAGACCATAAATTCGTTTTTAGGCTGGGTCATTAAACATAAACCGTTGTAAATCGAGGACTATGTAGCCAAACTCAGTCAGTTCCTGTAAATCGAGGACTATCTGTAGCCGAACTCAGTCAGTTCCTCGTTGGATGAGACGATTTATTAATTTGGTTTCTGTAGTCGCCCCTTCTCAAAGTTAGTGACTGGCGAACCATGGTCAACGTCGCCCTAATTCTCTTGCTTGTCTTTCTCTTTACCTTATTAGCAAATGTACATTTCCTACGTCAAGAATTCGAGATTCACCTCTCCTAACGCTCTCCCCCTGATCAACTTCATGCAACGGACGCTGATAGAGATGTACGTTCTGGATCACTCGGTGTCCTACCAGCAGGCTTTCGTTTACATCCGCCAGCTGGCCATCCACCTACGCGGGGCGATGTCTGTCAAAAAGAAGGTGGGTTTATTTGAAGGAACAAGCGGTGGACTCTCCATGGTTAAAGGAAGTCCTAGTAACGGGCTAGGCCAGGGGTAGGCGACCTTGGCTCTTTTATGACTGGTGGACTTCAACTCCCAGAATTCCTGAGCCGGCCATGCTGAGGGGAAAGGGAGAGGTTTCCAAGCTGAGCCATGCTGGCTCAGGAATTCTGGGAGTTGAAGTCCACGAGTCATAAAAGAGCCAAGGTTGCCTACCCCTGAGCTAGGAGGCTCACCGCTTAGAACAGGAGGACTTAGGACAGGGATAGGCAACCTTGGCTCTTTTATGACTAGTGGACTTCAACTCCCAGAATTCCTGAGCCAGCCATGCTGAGGGGAAAGGGAGAGGCTTCCAAGCTGAGCCATGCTGGCTGAGGAATTCTGGGAGTTGAAGTCCACAAGTCATAAAAGAGCCAAGGTTGCCTACCCCTGGGCTAGGGAATCGGGGTAGGTAAGCCCAGTTTTCATGTAGAGCTTGTAGCTTCATGGAGACCCCTAGATCCCCAACTTCATGCAATGGTGTTGGCTGGATTTACAAAACACCATTCCTGTGTTGTGTAACACAGTTACACAAACAGTTCAATTCTTTTCAGACAGGCTGGTTGTATACCATTCATACCATCTCTCAAGCTGAGAACTGTGCAGCCTCAGGGTTTAAATAACAGTTTTGTAATCAATGCATTCTAGGATAAATGGTAATTCAGCACCACCCTCTAAATATTTAGTGTGAAGTTTACAGCTCAGTTAAAAAAAACCACATACTCTAAAAAGTCACGGCACAAAAGGAAAAGAGGAGTGGGAGGGAAGAAGAAAACGGAAGTGCTTTGATCACAATTCTGAACAGCTGTGGATTTTACGGTGTGCTTCATTAATTTTTCAGCATTACTTCCTGCTTCTCTCTTTTTTTTTAAATAGGAAAACTATCAGTCAGTTTACAACTGGCAGTACGTCCAC